GGTTGCTTTAGAGTATCACTTTTAGTGGTCTCTATCATTGCCGATATATTAAAAGCAAAGGCTGACGTTGTCAGCGTTTGTGCAGTTTGATACTTTCACTACAAGAGCATTTGATTCATTTCATATGTGGTCACTTCACAAAAAAGTTAAAAAATAAAAAAAAGTTAAAAAGTCAATCTCAAATAAAATTTTTTAATCCCAAATTAAAATAGTTAAAAAGTTAAAAAACCAATCCACTCCCCAAACCACACCTAAAGGATCAAGAAAGAAACGAATCTTCAAAAATAAAAAATAAAAAATAAAAAAAAATAAAAGAAACGAATCTGCCCTTGACAAATTAGGCATATGTATTCATTTCCTTGTTTATCTGATATAAAATAAATGGGAAAAGATACTAACACAATATACGGAACCAAAATGTATACCCGAAAAATAAAATAAAAAATAGAAGTGCTTGAATTAAATTCAAATATACTGTGGTGGGATCACATCTAAAATAAATCCGAACTACAAATTTTATTTTATGTGCATTTTTATATTTATTTTCTCTCTAATCAAAGCATTTGTTAAAAACAAATATGAGATTATTTGGTGTAATTTCTAATAAGTTGAGAATCTATTAGCACCTCTATAACTTCCAATTGAAAGTACTACTTTTGAATAATCTATTTTTAAATATACATACATATATATATAAGAGAAGTCGCACCAAATATTCCAATAGAAATTTACAAAATATATAAAAGAAAAATCTATAAATAATCCGATAAACTGCTCTCAGAAGGGCATTATACTAGGCTTTCTTTTCTTGTCAAAGTGAGTGTCCCTAAAATTCTCCACTACACATTTTGTGAGAGCACGTCGCCAATGACATATAACATCCTTATCTTATACGTGCATAAACATTGTTGGTAGAAAGGATTCAATTTTTTATAGCAATGCTCAATAGATTCCTAAAATGATGGGACTATTATTTATTCTCATTAAGGAAGACAACCCCAGCACATTGGGCTTTTTGAGCCCATTTCGATTCTTTTTTGGGTGAATAGCCCATTTCGATTCTGCCTCAGTGATTTAAGGAGAATTCTATTTGTACTCAAAAAATAATTAAGTGAACTCAATTTTTCATTACATCCTATTAAATTATTTAGAGTTAAAATTTATTCTTAGTAAACCTTATTTTTTCCCCCTAAATTATCCTTTTGAGGTACACCCAAATAAAACAAATTAAAAATTTTAAATTATATTTGAAAACCCCTTAAAAAAAACCTTTCCTTTATTTACATACATATAGGGAACGACAGGACGTTCGCCTTCGCTTTCATCGAGCTTGAAGCTTGAACTTCGTGTTCACATTTAGTCACCACCATTCACCATCGTTCGCCGGAGCTCGCTCACGCCATAGAGTGAATCAAATTCTTTCTGCAAATTTGAAATTGAATAAAAACAGATTATCTAAATATGAGTTTTTCATGACTTTTAATATGTACATGCCCATGTAAAGGAATTGAAGAAGAGAAACAAATTAACATACCTTTTAATTAAAATATTACACTGATAACATGAACACATCAATTCTTAATGTTTCAAAAAATAAATAAATAAAAATTCTGAAGTTAAAAATAAATAAATTAAATTTTGAAGATGGAGAAAGAGAATGAAAATTCTAGAATTTTTATTCATTTATTTATTTGTTTGTTTTGTTTGGTGGGAGAGCACTGTCACAGAAATCACAGAAATTAATGATGATGAATAATTGAAACTTGGGTTATATGTAAAAAAAAAACAATTCCGAACAAAATGAGCCATAAATTTGAGCAAACGCAGAAATCAATAATAGTGAATAATTGAGCCAAACAAGCTCATTTTCTGTGTTTATTGTAATGGTGAGTTTTGGTGAGATTGATTAGAGTTTTAGAGTGAGAAAGAATAAGAAAAGAAAATAATTAAAACTTGGGGAAGAAGATGAAGAGATTTGAATAGAAAGAAAACATATAATTGATTAGGGTATACTATGAAAAAATATTTTAATTTAAGATTTTAATATGTTGTCCTTATTAATAAATTCACATTGGGATATAATAGAAATTATAATTTTAAATTTTGAATTGAACGTACTGAAATATTTTTTAGGTTCAAATAGGATGGCACGTGATTTAAATCTTTTAAAGTTTAGTATCTCCGTTATAAATTATATATTTAAAAAAATTAAATTAATTAGACATTGATGACAACATATTTAAATGACATTTATTTTTTAAAAAATGGAGGGCAAATATGAAATTGATAACAAATTGTTCATTTTTATGAGATAAATATGATTCAAACATGGGATTATTGGTATCTGATAATTTAATTTTTTTACATGAATGATCTACTAAGAAGATACTAAACTTTGAACAATTTGAATCACCGAGGGAGGACATGTCAAGAAGAATGGATCAAGGTGGTTTGGGAATTAGAAAATTGAGGGATGCAAACAAGTGCTTACTAATAAAGTGGTGGTGGAGGTTTGGTAGTGAAAAAGATTTGTGGAGAAGGGTCATTTGTAGTAGATATAAGTTGGAGGTGGCTAGTTGGATTCCATCTCTAATTCCTTCCAATAGTTACTCACCAGTTTGGAATGGAATTATCTCGGTTGCTGAGCAGTGTAATAGCTTAAAGGAGTTTTATTTGCATAACTTCCAATTGAAAGTACGGGATGGGAAGAGGATCGGGTTTTGGTTAGATGTTTGGTGTCAATCTGTGTGTTTGAAAGATGAATTCCCAACTTTGTATAGGTTATCTTTAGAAAAAAATGAGTCCTTAAGAGTCTTGGTTGATAAGAAAGCCATAGTAGGTGATTGGTCCTTTGCTTTTAGAAGAGAACTTTATGAATGGAAGGTGCTGGAATTGGTTAGGCTTAATAATATCCTGGCGGCAGCACTTACTGTATGTGTAGGGTGTACAGATCAACCTGTTTTGTCAGCTTCATCTCATGGGGTCCTAAAAGTAGTAGATTTGCACAAGTTTGTTGTAGATAATGTTGGTGCCACCATGAATATAACTAAATTGATTTGGCTCAAATATGTCCCTCCCAAGGTGCAGGTGCTTGGTTGGTTTGCTTGGAAAGAGAGAATCAAGACAATGGAGTTTCTACAAAAATTGGGTCTGATTAGCCTTAATGACCCTACAACTTGTGTGTTTTGTAACAGTGGAAGTGAATCAGTGAACCATGTCTTGATTTGGTATCCCTTTGTGTGGAAGATTTGGGCTAGAATGCTAAAGTGGTGGGATATCCAAACTGCTTTGCCATGGTCTGTGGAGAGTCTTCTCCTGTGGTGGGCAGGAGGGAAGCTAAAAAAGAAAGAAATGATGATTTGGGGGGCAATTCCATTGGCAATGATGTGGTCAGTCTGGAGATACAGGAATGATTGTGTTTTCAGAGCAACCTTTCCAAATTTAGAGGATCTCTGTGACTTAATTAAGTATATGATTGCTTTTTGGATAAAATCACACCTCAGAGATTTTCATTTTTCTGAGCAGGATTTTATTACTAATCTGAGGCAAATTAGGAGATGCTTAGGAGGATCTGTTGCTGATATGTAGTGGTAGTTGGTAGGTGTTGAACTGCTGAGGTTTGCTGCTGCTCTTGGGTCTGTTGTGGATTTGTAGTAGTAGCTTGGGTGAATATCTGCATCCTGTGTGTATCTCAATTGCTGGTCTAGCCTGGTCTACTTAGTTTTGGTACTGAGGTATGATGCTGAAATCTGATATGGTGGTGCTGGTGGCTTAGCTTTGTGTGCAAGTGCTGTGTAGGCAAATGTGTAGTCATTTGGATGCAAGAGAGCTGTAACAAGTGCTGTATAGTTTGGGTTCTTGGTGACTCTATTCAGTGAGGACTGTGACAAGTGCTGTATAGTCTGGTTTGGTTGTATGGGTTGGTCTGTGTGTTGTATGGTGAAGTTTTGCAGTGCTGCTCCAATTTCTACTGTTCGTTTAGCTTGGTTCTATTTAGTTTTGGTGCTGAGGTATGGTGGTGGATTTGATCTTGATGGTGCTAGTGGTTCTTGGAGTCTTCATTCAGTAGCTAGGAGGTTGGAGCATGTCTTTTTGCTGTTGATTTGGGAAATCAATTATGAAGTGTGGAAATTGATCCAATCTCCTCTATCTGTTGCTGATTTTGCATCTGTTTGCTGCTGGTTGTCTATCTGTTAGTTAGGTGTTGCTCTTGCTTTATTTTGTGTTGTTGGTTCCTCACCAACTTGGAGGTTGGAGCTCTTTCTAGCTCCAAACTCCTCTTTATTGATGTTTTGCCTATCATATGTAATTTATATGTCGTTTATTAATAAAGTTTTCTTTTGCCGATCAAAAAAAAAAAAAAATTTTTTTTTTCAACCATAAGGGGTGTCCAGATCAATTTATATGTATTTTGATTAATTTCCTTCTTCGTCTAGACAAAGACATGTCGAGGCAAAGTCGAAATGAGCTTTGAAAGCCAAAAACTACACCCGCCAGTCCAATTAATAATGCTCATTTTTTTTTTATTATTATTAATTATCAGTAAAAAAATAATTTTATTGATGACAAAGCAATGTACAAAACATTAGGATTACACACATCAATAAATAATGCTCTTAGGCTTTGTTTGATTAACCGGATTAATAGTAAATGTATTAATAATCCTATGAATTAGTTTATAATTAGTTATTCAATTAAATTAGTGAGATAACCATTTATTATGTATTTATTTATTTATTTTTCTTTTCATATTTGAAATTATGATCCGTAACCCCTCTCAATATTAACAAAACAGGCAATTTCGTCGAATTGAATATTTGCTTTATTTATAATCTAGTTAATAAAATTTATAATCAAACATAACATTGTAAGTTTATGAACTAACAATTCTACTCTTATGTTATAACCATACTAATCAAACACACCCTTAATGAATAGTGAAGTAAGAAACGTAACAAGAAGCACCATGATGTTTCCAATTGTATGATAAACGGACGATATAAGCATGAAAAGATTAGTTCATAAAAAGAAAGCGATAAAAATCAGCCAACATTCAAGGGCAACACTACGACCACCATTTCCCCCTAAACTACACATGAAAGCACCCAATTCTTTACCTTAATGTCCCATAGTTTTAAAATAACGGTACTGAAATATATATCAATATCCATGATATCGTCATATATTGATATAGTATCAGTATCAAAATTTTAAAATATACATAACCGCCTATATTTAAAATTCTGACCTATCCAATTAAAAATTAATTTGTTCAATTGAGTTGCCACAAACCCTGCACCTCATTCACAGGTAAAAAAAACCTATTAGACCCATGAAACAGCAATTCTATACATAAAACCCTAAACCCTCAGTTAGCTACCTGCAGGTCCTGCACAAACATTCATTAGTCACATATCTCTTATACCGTGAGCAGCATAGTCAAATCTCTAACCTGAGAACAAAGTTAATCACTTCCTCTTCCCACAACAACTGTAAAAATTACTCATCTTGATCAGTAGTACAACAGAACAAACTGTCATTAATTTTAGCCTGATTAGTGAATTCTTTCATCATCCCTTGTTGAGCTTCACACCATAGTTCTCCCACAGGTACTTATCTCCATCACTACTACCCACCAAGAACCTAAAGCAACTATCATGCATTCCATTGCCGGTATTTGAGCCACCATCACCACCATTGATCTCACAGTAACCTCCTCCTCCTCCTCCTGCTCCTCCTCCATGATTGTATATTGTTGATTCATTGCTCTGAAAGTAACAACTTCTTGAATTCTCTTTCCTTTTCTTGTTTCCCTCTTCAGCTTTCAAGGTGTTGGTAATTGTTTCACTTCCATTCTCATTTTGGTTTTCGCCGAGACTCTGAAGCTTCTCGGCCCCCGTTACCTCCTCTAGAGATGAAGCTTTCACTTCCTTTTCTGTTAATTTCTTCAAAGCTTCCATTATAGCTGAGTCGCGAGATTTGATCCAAGCTCGCTCATTAGCCCAAAACTTGTGCTCTCTTTCAATCCTATCCACCTCTTCCTTCCTCCATTCTTCCTCTCTCGACATCCTTTCTTGTTCCTTGCACTCAACAGTCTTCACCATATTCTCCAAGAACTCCTCTTGTTTCTCCATTATCTTACTCATCTGCAATTCTATGAAGTCTCTTATCTTCGCCTTCCAGCTCCTTCTCCCTCTTCTCTTCTTCTTCTTTTCCGCCAAGTCATTGTCCATTAACACAGCTGCATTAGTATCATAGTCATCAGACGAAGAAGTGTCAAATTCAGAGGAGTTAGAGAGGCTGAGGCTATCACAGAGCTTTGGGGGTTGTGTGGCAATGTTGCTAGCATTTTCAAATTGAAAATTGTTTCCTAGAAGATGGGTTTCTGAGACTGAAACCGGATTTCTGGTATCGCCATAGAGAGCTTCAAGCTGCCGAAAGAATCTGTAGTGTTTGCCATCTTGTCTGCCAGCCTTCCCTTCCCTAGTCTTCTTGTAATACTTGTACAAGTTCTCAAACTTTTCTCTGCATTTTTTACCACTCCTTTGATACCCATTTTCCTCAGACATTATCCTGCAAATATATAGAAAAAAAAGAGAAGAAATTATATATAAGTTGGAACTGAATAAATAGGACAGAATAACCCTAGGTTTAATTATTTACACAATGCTATACATACAAAATTGTATACATAATGATGCAATTAATTTTGACTTCATTAGTTCAAAACGAAAGTCCTGTCGCACAGGTTATAGCTCCACAAACGCCATGCACACATCATTCTGGATAAGATTTCTATATAAAAATAAATAAATAAATAAAATCTATTTGTGTACCATTTTCTTAATCATAATAATGGACCAAAAAATTTTCTTCAGACAGATCTTTGGTGTCGGTTTTGGTTTATAGAATCATAACCTCACTTGGTTGGGGCAATACTCCAGACCCAATTTGGAAAATGATGACCAGTCAAGTTTCTAAACAAAGTTGGGTTTTTGAGAGAGCTGCTTATTCATCAAATAGAAACAGAAAATGGGTACTTAAGTATCCAAATTTTCAGCCATTTTTTAGCAAAAAAACCAGTAAAAGTTTGCTCATATGAAGGGTACTAATTGTCAACAAGAAATAGAATCAGTGCAGTTGAACCGCCGAAGTAATCGCCCAATTTTGTTGCATAAAAGCAGAAAAACAAAGTAATGAAGAAAACAACACCTAAGGCTTCAACTGAAACTTCACTGTGGTGTTATTTTCTAACACAAAATTAGTAATCAAAATCATAAATTGCTTACAAGGTTTACCCAGAAAACAACTGAGGAACGCACTGAGCATTCCTGTCTCTAGCTCAAATCCTAATGGGTATAGGTCAAATCTTCTAGGAACATGATCAAACACCTAAAAGTTCACTTTCTTTTATTTACTTATTTATTTGTGAGTTTGATGAGGGGACGAGAATTTGACAGCTATCACGGATAACGAAGGTGAAAATTGACAGTTTGGTATTCAACTTCAAACTCAAGAGATGACTTCAATCAAGTATAACAAGAGAGGATGTTGAGAGAGAGAGAGAGAGAGAGAGAGAGAGGGGGGGGGGGGGGGGGGGGGGATACTTCTTCAAAGTGTGTTGAATTAACTAGCAATTATCAAAGATTACGAAAGGTGGAAATTGACAGTTTGGTCTTCAACTTAATAATTGCTTAGAAGGGTTGCCCAAAAAACAACAGAGAAACACTCTTAACATTCGTGTCTCTCTATCTACCCTAGCTCAAAGCCTAATAGGTATTGCTCAAATCCTCTTCAAGGAACATGTTCAATCACCTAAATTCAGTTCTCTTGTTTTGTGAGTTTGAGGGGACAGGGATTGACGATCGAATGTAAAAAATTGACAGTTTAGTAGTGTTTAACTTCAAACTCATGAGATGACTTGAATCCAGAGAGAGAGAGAGAGAGAGAGAGTTGAAGATAGGGTAAAAGTGTACCTAGAGACTTCATCCCACAATGGACCCTTCTGGTTAGACTCCTTGAACTTAGAATCAAGCCTCGATCTGATTTCAAGAAGTGTGAGAGTCTCTTGTCTTGGCCACCTTCCAGTACCACCACCATCTCCTCCAAATCCACCACCTCCACCCTCCATCTCCAACCCATTCAGACTAGGCTCGGCTGCGGCTGCGGCTGCGGCTGCGGCGGCTGTGGTAGTCACAGAATCAGACTGAAACTCATGATGATGATGATGATGAGGACCCAGCATGACCATCTGGTAGTGATGATGGTGGGGCTGTGTCAGATTCCGGTGGCCGGAGAAGAGGTCTTCTGTTGGTGGAAAATGGGGCCTCTCGTTCATGTAGTGGTGCTGCCGGAGATTTGCCATGCCGTACTGATCCTCCATTTCTATCGATTTGTAAACAGTGGAAAGGCTGCTGAGAGAGAGAGAGAGAGAGACAGACAAAGAGAGAGAGAGAGATAGAGATCAGTTTGAGAAAGGAGCGGCAGACCCGGATCGTGTCGTCCACGAAAAAGCTTTGAATTTATGCAGAGGGGAGAGAGGACTATGGACCCATGTCATGTCTTTGCTGTTTCGAATAGTGTAAAGTGTTTTCTCCCCCTTTGTTTTTTTTTTATTTCTCTTTCATGATATGTATATATGCATGTATCATCATCTGCAGCAAACCTTTCCCCTGTCCCTCCTTTGGATGGATGGCTTCGGTTATATCATTGTTTTTAAGAATTGGATTATCTGAGGTTAGTCATTTAACTTGACTAATTTTTGGTTTGGTGGATTTATTTTGATGCTAACTTTAGTTATTTGAATAGTTTATTTTTTAAAATTAATTTTGTAAAATATTTATATAAAAATTAATGATAATTGTACATCGATAGTGATATATTTAAATCACATTTATTTATAAAAAAAAAATGAACAACAATTGTAATTTTAAAAATAACTATCTATTTTTTTGTAATACAAATCTTATTCAAATATATAGTTACTCATATATAATAATCTTAATTTTTTTGAATTAGTATTGTACTCAGCAAGCTCTAAAAGTAAATGATTTAAATTATTAGAATCACTCCAAAATGGGGGCCATCAAAATACTCACTCAAATTGATATGACAAATTTAAGAAAATTCGAGGCCTTACTTTTAATATTGGTACAAGCACAACTATCAGTATGGGTATTGGTCACGATGTAATAATATTGGAAAAATCAAATCAAATTATAGATAGTGCAAATTGAGTGTTGTGATTATTTGGATAAAAAGATTTTTGTAACCGAACTAGTTGTATGGACTGTAAAACGGTTGTATTAGTTGTCAATCAAATACGAATCAATACGTATTGAAAATTGATATATGTATTATGTATGTAATTTTCATTTTAACACATATACTGTACATGTTGAGCTGTATTCAAAACCATGATATGCAAGCCTAGTTATAGTAAAATATATTTGATTTTTTTTTTTTTTCAACCATAAGGGGTGTCCAGATCAATTTATATGTATTTTGATTAATTTCCTTCTTCGTCTAGACAAAGACATGTCATCTATGCCGGGATTAAGAAATTCACAACAAAATAAAATAAAATAAAATAAAATTTCTTGTTATCTGACTCTAAGAGTTGAATCTTGAACAATTGTGTGGGAGGATATCCACCAATTATTTAGAATAACTCTTGAAGGTTATATTTGAATGGGTTTTGATCATTGGTTGACAAAGCAGCACTTCATGTACTACGATAAAAAAGAAATTTTAAAAATAAAAATTTAGGAATGAAATTATTTTTTAAAAATAAATTATTTTAGTAGACAAAAGTATCGTTATTATAGTTTTGGAAATGAAATTAAAGTCCTAACAACAAAGGGGGAACTATAGTATTAGACACCAACGCAATGCTTGTTTGACGAATTAGATTGAATGGTATTATTAGTACAGTGAGATTGAATGAGAAGATTAATATTGGAGTGATACAACATTAGAGATGTAACATAAAGAGTGGTTGTTTGTACACCACCGGATTAGTAATATCATAACAATATCTCTTGTTTGTTTTGCCATAAATGCCCATCAATGACATGTTTAGGACAATAGTTGAAGGGCAAACTAGACATTTCTCACATTAAGCCTTAGATTGTTTTTCCAATCCCATGCTTTCTTAGGGAAAGCTAAGCCCACTGTTGTACATTATTGGCAATCACATTGGATTAATAGTCCAGTAGAATATGAGGTTTACCAAACAAGTCATAAGTGAGGTGTTCTCACTAGCAATCCAATCCCCTTAATGAGTCAGCCAAACAAACATCCCTTAAAGCAGCCAAGTCAAACCTGATCAAACCCCTTGGTTTTGACAATGTAATTGGGTCAAACCCTTTGGTGTGATAAGGCAATTGGATATTTAATAATGAATAATTATTTTTCTCATATTAAATTTTTTGTCTAAACGGGGTAAACTTTTTAGCACAAAATTGTTTTCTTTCTAAAAGTGCAATTGTTAAAATATTTTAAAATTTGAGTTGTTAAAAGTTCTTTTTTATTTTTTTGACATGACCTTTTCGTGACGATAATAATTTATTTTATTATATTTTTGTAACAAAAAATTTATTTTTAAAAACAAAAAAGTTGCGTGCATAAAATTCTTATGTTTTGACGGAATAAATTAAATCTTTTTTAACGGAAGAACGGAATAATAATTTATTCCCATGTAACATTTATGTCGTTGTGGCTGCTCAAATTAATGATGAATTTGTTTGGAAAGACTCATGTCCAATTGAAAACAACTCAACAAGTAAAGCTCATTATGTGAATTTGTTTGGAAAGACTCATGTCCAATTGAAAAGAACTCAACAAGTAAAGCTCATTATGTCCCCGAGACATAAGAGGAGAGTAAATAATATATATATACATATATATATATATATATATATTTTCAGGCTTTCAATTTATTCATTATTTTCTCAATACTTTTGGAAAGAATTGTTGTTTTCAGTGTTATTTGGGTTGACACCTTTTTTTTTTTAGTACTCAAATATAACCTTAATTCAAATTGAATACTTTTGATAATCTTTTAGTTTGCTTAATTTTTTTTTTTTGATTTTTTTGATAAAAAAAAATAAAATAAAATTATTGATGATAATCGGCATGAATACATATGACAATACATCAATAAAGGAAGAGACGAGCAAAAGCAAATAGGTTGATACTAAGTAAGATACACAAACAAGAGCTAGCTCAGGCAAGTTGGTGAGAAACTAGCACAGATGAGAGACAGAAGAAAACAATAACAACCAGAAAAAAAAAAAAAAACAACAATAGCAACTAGAAGAAGGACCAAGATGTAGCCTCACTTCAAGCCTTCCCCTGTATCACCTCGGTTACTTAACCTCCTTAACTAGAAGTAGTTTGTTCACATTTCCATTTCTTGTGTGCTTAATTTGAATTGTTGTTTATTAGTGTTGTTTGTTTGATGGTTGTTTTAATCTTTTAAACTTGTTTGGTAGATTGTTTGTATTTTTGAAAAATAAAATTGATTCCAAAATTTTCAATATTGTTGAACACACACACACACACACACATTGTTTTATTTATTTTTAAAACAAACTTTCATTTTATCCTCTCTCCACCACCATCTTTGGCAATGACTCACTGCCATAGGCTAACACCATCCACTACCACTGACCTCTAAGGAGGTTTGACCACCTTTCAGTTACTCTCTGGCGACTGGCCAGTCACCGCCATGACCTCCCGCAATCTTTTGGCAACTCTTCTACCACTTTGTGACCTCTAGCGACATTTTGACCACCAACTCCAATGGCAATCTCTACCTTCGGTGACATTTCAACCACCAACTTCAGCTCCAATATCCACATTTGGAGAATCTCACGTTATTTTGATAAAAAATTCTATATAAAAATTATTTTATATAGTATTATTCTAAAATAAAAGTAAGCCTACAATTCAACACAATATTTTTTTACATTTTCTATACTGAAAATGTTATACAATTAAATATTTGGATTAATTACATTTACACTTTGTTTGTTTGGGCAAAAATTATTTTTAAAATTATTATTATTATTATTTTTACTTTGTATTTCTAGCTTTTGGTGAAAGACGAAAGTCAACATAATGCATTTTCTATGATCAATAGAAAATAAGCTTATTTGAGCAGAAAATATTTTCCGCTTTTAAAAGGCCAAAAATGTTATTTGCACTAAAATAAAATCAATGTCACGACACTACTACTGCTGCTATTACCTCCACCACCACACCACCATCACCATGGCCATTGCTAGAGTTATGCCTTGGAAGTAGTGGGGCTGTGCCTTGGGAGTTGAGGAGTTCATGCTAGAAAAGTGCTACAATGCCTATTAGTGTTTGTGCGGTTTTGACTTTGGGGGTTCATGTTTTTTGGTTTTTTTAGTTAAGCCCTTCTTAAATATTTGTTTATTGTTTTGGTTTTAGGTTGTTTTCTTTTGTTAAAAAAAGAAAAAAAAAACTATGAGGCCGAGGTGTTGGTTGTATGTTTCCGAGTAGTAATGGTAGGGGTATTTTGTACCGTCTGAATCTCTCTCAATGCATTGCATCTTCCTATACTTATAATTTCATGTTTTTAATGAAATTTTCACTTTGTTGATTAAAAAAAATAAAGGCCATCGCCACCATCATTGTCACCATTACCGCCACCTTACCACGCCACTACCACTGAATATAGAAAATATTTTCTGAAATTTTTTTCCTAAAAAATATTTTCTATCTAAAGAAACACAGCGTTGCTACCCTTATTCTTTCACTAAAAGTTTATCTTGGCCTCTATACTTTTAATTGCGATAGCCAATTTTTACACTTTAAGTCATGTTACAATGTTATCGTTCCATTCATCTAATGTTAATAAAGCTAAAGAAACATGTCGTGTTAGTCATACAGGACATTTTTCTCTCATCTCATTAGTATTCTTATACTTTAATCAAAATCTCACTTTAGTTCTTAGACTTTTACCAAGATATCAGTTTGGTCCCTCTACCTTTTACTCTTATTAGTCCAATTAATGGTAGATGGACAAAAGGATAGCGTTTCAACTTAATTTAAAATGTTAGAGGCTGATTATTGACTGTCACTAATCAATCTTCATGTTAAGGTTTTAAAACATGTAAAGTTGTAGAGTATGGGTATCGTATCCATAGGGACAATTATATAATTTTGGCTATTCCAATTATTAATTTCAAATTAGTTTGTTCAGATTGATTATTTTATGAGAATAAATAAATTATGAAACCCTAATTAAATAAGCAAGAAAAATCAAGTTCAAGAATATGAAATGTAAACTTAAGGAATTGAATTTACTGTTGGTTCTTTAATCGAGGTTCTTATCGTAGATTACACAAAAGTCAATTTCTCAACTACGACTTCGAAATTGAAACAGAAAGAGTAATATTGTGTTTAAAGCAAGTGCACGACGTATCTCAATTAGTATGGATTATCCATTCTAAACTAGGGTTCGTGGTACAACCCCTTTAGTAGGAGCATAACCCGTCTCAAGTTCCCAACACAATAACACTAAAAACTAAAGTAAAACAATTAATCACAATCATATAATGAAGAGGAAAGATAAAAGCACTTTTATTCCAAAACTCAA